TTCCAAAGAGTTATTAGGTGGTCTATAACACACCCCACACAACAAAGTTACTCCATTCATTTTAATTTCTACCCAAAGTAAGTCTAAATCTATATTTTCCAGGTCATTCCGTCTTTTGAATGCAAGTGATTGTGCTATATACAAAGCAACACCGCCACCACGCATACCAGACCTGTCTTTTCTAATGATAGAGTAATAGCCTGGAATGTGCAAATGTTCGTCTGGGGCCGGTTGTATCAAGCCCGTTTAGCTTAAACGGTGGATAAGCTCAAAATAGAAAGCAAGTTTATCGTTTTAATCAACAAGCAAACTAAATGTTTTTAACCATAATACAAAGATATTGTTTACAACTACATATTCAGCGCATAATATTCAAGTTCACTCATTCAAGAGAGATGTAAGAGTGTTATTTAATTTTGACTTATCCACCGTTTAAGCTAAACGGGCTTGATACAACCGGCCCCAGAACTGTTATTGTGGAGCCAAGTTTCAGATACCGCAAATAGATCAAAACTCTTATCCAAAATAAATGAGGAAATTTCTTCAAATTTCTCTTCGTTAGCTAGACTTCTAGCGTTTATATGTCCAATTGTTAAACATGATATTTTTGGGCCAGGATTTAATTCAATATCTCCTGCCATTATTAACAAAATTGATAAAAGGATTACAAACAATTTACATAGACTCCATCCCTGTCTCGTCCAAGATTGAAATACCCTGGGTTTTATATTGAAACGGCATTTTCTATTATTAAACATACCAATAGCTGCTCTATAAACAACAATGCTAACCTCCATTGGGGATAGTATAAAACTTACCAGTCTGCACAGCTGCTCGAAAACCACTTATTATTATAATATTACACACAAGAACCACACAAGAGGAATCTAAATAACGTTCTTCCAGAACAAAGATAGATAAAGTTAGAATGTTAAGAACAAGTATTATAAATATAATGGGTAGGACTATAGGTGCGATTATAATAATGCTAGTTTACAAGACAGTCCTCATATTGAAATAGCCATTTGTAATGGGTTTAATTAAACCAAGTTAAATTTTTCAAAATCACCCATGTGATGAATTCGCATTATTTTGTCATCTTTATTACGAACTAATACCTTACCATCCGTCGTCCAGACAGATTTAATATAAGTGTTATGTTCACGAGCGTATTTGAACAAACTGACGTTGTACTTGGTCAGGTCTTCATTTAGATAAAACTGTGTGCCTTTCAGATCTTTTCGTCGTTTACAAATTGCGGCCTTTGTACTGTATGATTTAAATTTAACAATTAGCGGTCTTGACCGGGTTGAAATCTTTGGGCCAAGACGATGTGCGCGATCAATTTCCTCGTGAATGATGTTTAGATGCAGCTTTTCCTCAACAAACTGAACTACCTCTTTAACGCAATCTTCACCATCGGTTTCGTCCAACCCTATAATTCGTAGGTTGTATTTTCTTGAGTATTGCTCATTTTCATTCGCTTTTATCGTGACATTTGTTAACTCTGTCTCCAGCGCTTCAATTCGCTTTAGAAGAGGAAATGTAGCTTGTTGGACAGACTGTTCGATGAGAGTATTTACTGCTTCAGATAGAATCGTCTTAAAGTCAGTTGATTTGAAAAATTGGTGCAGCTCACTTTGTATAGCTTCCTTCATGTCTGCTCGAAATTTATCAGGGTGATATGTCGTTTGTCTTGTAACTGGCATTTTGATATTCTTTAATCACAAAATATTATTAATGTGCACCTTAATATAGCCACATGTACAAGTTACATAGTAGAAATTAGCTTCTCAGTATATAATTTGATTAGATTGTAAGAGCTCTACGAGACACGTCTGCACTCGCTGACAATGCACGTTATCAACCCAAGCCGGGCTAACCAGAGCCCAACCCAAGCCGGGCTAACCAGAGCCTTTTTTCTGTTATCGCTTGGTGGAGCTTTAGAGCAAAACTCCTTGTTGGTCTGTAATTGCATCTTGATAAACGTTGTCCAGTTGCCTGGGTTTTTCAAATCAGCTGCCTCGTCGTGGCCCCAAAATGCTCTTTCGTTCGTTGCAAACCAAATTACGTACTGGAACAGAAGTTTAAAGTAATCTCTGTTATTTTGAGTTGTTTTCGCTTGATCAGGAACCAGTTTCTCAAGTATACTTGTACCAAAATGACACAAAGTTAAAATTCTATGTAGCCTTTGTAGGATCTATTCTTCAATCTTCAAACTTTTTGGAGACGTTAACATCAAATGTATTTATAGTTACACTAATTTTTTTGGCAGTGTTGTAAATAACAATGAAGATATACGCAAAGTAAAAATGTCGGTAAACATTTAGAAATTTTGTGACATTTACACAACAATTCCGAAATTATGATTAAAACATTAAATAATCTACTAAGCTTCATAAATTATGTATCAAAATGTTGCCAACAAGGGGAGCCACGAATATAACAGTTGCGTTCACACACGACAAACCAGGGAAACTAGAAAAAAGAAAATAAAGGGCAAACAGAGTTGACATGACAAAGTAATGTTCCCCCGCGTATAGTAATTAACATGTTAATTTAAATGCTCGGTGAAAAAACGCATGGTACACGCTCAATTGCAAATGGTGGTAGTATAAAATATGTAATTGCCTTTGAATTTATAAGTAAGTTGCACTCTTACTCAGTCTTACTGCACAATTTTCTAGCCTATATTACTTATAATAATATTACCTTGCCCCCCCCCAGAAAATCCGCCCCTGGTTTGTAATAAAGTTAGCCTTTGTTTCTAGTTGACCTAGCATGGGCTCTGGTTAGCCCGGCTTCAATTGATTTTAGCCAGGCTTTAAATTAAATTCAATAGAAAACAGGCTAACTTCAATAGAGGCAGGGCTATGCCAGATTCTATATATTCCATTCTACCTAATATTTCTTTTTACATTTAATTTTTATGCTTGTGCTACTTATAGACACAATTTGCCGAAATATGTAAAGCTGAATGTGTGCAAGATGTGCATTAGCTTTAGAATGTACTATTTTATATAGGCTACATGAATATCATAGAAGAGGGGCTAACTTCATTAGAAGCTGGGCTAACTTCAATAGAAGACAGGCTAACTTCAATAGAAACTTGGCTAATTTCAATAGAAGACTGGCTAACTTCAATAGAAGACAGGGTAAATTTCAATAGAAGACAGGCTATTTCAATAGAAGCCAGGCTAAGATGTGCATTAGCTTTAGAATGCACTATTTTATATAGGCTACATGAATATCATAGAAGAGGGGCTAACTTCATTAGAAGCCAGGCTAACTTCATTAGAAGCCAGGCTAACTTCATTAGAAGCCAGGCTAACTTCATTAGAAGCCGGGCTAACTTCTATAGAAACTTGGCTAACTTCAATAGAAGACTGGCTAACTTCAATAGAAGACAGGGTAAATTTCAATAGAAGCCAGGCTAATTTCAATAGAAGCCAGGCTAATTTCAATAGAAGCCGGGCTCACTCCAGAAGAAGATGGGCTAACTTCAATAGAAACTTGACTGTAAATTCAATACAAGCCAGATTATATAAAATTATTCCATTCTACCTAATATTTCTCTTTTTACGTTTTTGCTTTATAGAAAGCTCCTCAGGTGCTGAATACTTTGTAGGAAATGATTCACATAGCATAAAGTTTGAGCACTTTCATTCTTTTAAGCTTTTAAACAATAATTAACCATTAGTATATATGATCCAGTGTGACCAGATCTAGCATAATTATGCTAGTCTAGCAAAATTTAAAGAATTTCGGAATAAATTTAGCAAAAGGAAAAATTTAGCATAATTCTAGCATTATAACACAAATTAAGCATAATTTTAACATAATTTTCCTGTAATATTTGATGTGTCTGGAACGTGCACTGTAGGGCAGCATTGTGCCAACGGGAATGCAGGTTTTTGCTATTAGATTCTTAGTTAAATAAATCTACGGTTCAATCCAGTAATTTGAATAATCCACTGGCAAATGCGTCAACCAATTCGCTTAAAATACGATGCGATTTTGGAGTGTGAACGCTGACAACTTGAATTCTGGACATGTTTAGTGCCTTTGATGTGGCTAAAGATGCGACTCCCTTTCAGTAATACCCTGCTTCAGCATGCCTATGTATTAACCAAAGAGAACTTCAACAAGTCAAGCAATCTCACATGCAATGCTATGTCTTCCCTTCTGGATTCAGTTGGGTGGTGCAGCTATGAAGAAAAGCAATGTGCAGATGGTGAGTTTCGAACCATGATGTTTGATCAAGATGTTCAGCAGCTTGCTGCCTCATGTGAAACAACTGAGCAGTTCTGGGGTGAAATTGGCAAGCTTGAAGGAATAGAGCAAGGTAGCCAAAAGTATGCTGTTATCTCTAACATTGCCAAAAACTTATTATGCCTACCAATCAGCAGTGCAGACTGTGAGAGGATTTTTTCTCAAGTTAACATTATCAAGACAAAGACAAGAAACCGGCTCAAAGTGGAAAACATTGAAAAAATCATCCAAGTTAAGCAAGGCCTTAGTGAGTTTGGGTGCAACTCATTTGTACCTACTAAGGCAATGATGAAAAATTTTAACAGCATCGAGTTATATGACAATGACACAGACAGTGGCAGTGACTAATCCAATTAAATGTAATAGTTCAAATTGAAAGATTCACATTAAAGAAAGTGTAAGGGCTATTCTCTAAACTGAGCCTGAGGCAATTTTGTTATGCGATATTATAATTCGATTCACTATACAAAGTATAAATAAATTATTAGTATAAATACAGCAACTAAATCTAACTAAAACAAAATATGCTTACAAGAAAATATGCCTCAATCTTCAAATCATTAACTTCTTTCTTTTGTGTCTCTATCTTACTGAAATATCTTACAATAAATATCTTAACTAAAGCTCATTCTTTTTATAGTTTTTTAAGTTTTTTGGTCAGCGGACTAATGTTTACTTATTAGTTACACTTCATGTTACTACAATCTTTACTTTCCCCTCCCAAAGACTCACGTAGGGAGCTTTACTTTATTTTCTGAATTTAACTGTTCTCGAAACGAGGTTACAACTTGTTCTTCCAACATACACAACTTTTGAATGTCACGCTGGTAGGTTCCTGTGGCCGTTCGCACCATGACTCTCCGAACTACACCCTCTTCGTCTGGATACACTTCTTGCACCAAACCCTTTGGCCATTTTCCGTGCACTGTATCTTTACTTGTGACGAGAACGAGGTCTCCTACTTGGAAATTGGGTTTATTCTTCAACCATTTTTGACTTTCCTGAAGTTGGGACAGATACTCCTTAACCCAGCGGTTATAGAATTGGTTGGCGAGATGATGAACTTGTTTCCATCTTGTCTGACATTGATCGAGATGCCGTTCATCCTCTAAAGGGATGCGAGGATTTCTTCGCAGCAGTAAGATGTCATTCGGAGTTAGTGCCGTCAAATCCTCAGCTTCGCTCGGGACAGGTGTAATAGGACGGTCGTTCATGATCTTCTCTACTTCAACTATGAATGTCGTCAGAGTTTCTTCATTTACTAACTGCTCTCCGATCATCGCATGTAGTATTCGTCGTATGGAACGAATAAGACGTTCCCATATTCCACCATAATGACTAGCGACAGGGGGATTGAATCTCCATCCGATTTCTCTCTCGTGTAAATTATTCCTAATTCGCTCTTGGTTCCAAGTTCCCATCGCCTTAAAAATGTCTATTTCAGCTCCTCGAAAGTTCGTTCCATTATCGCTGTAAATGATTGACAGTGGTCCTCTTCTAGCTACGAAACGTAGTACGGCGTTGATAAAACTCTCTGTTGATAGGTCATTTGCAATTTCAATATGGACAGCTCTGTATCGAAGGCAGGTAAAAATACAACCATACCGTTTGTTTAAACTTGAAGTACTTTTCGCTGATCTGGTTGATTTCCAACATGTGACATGAAAGGGGCCAAAATAATCAACACCGACAGCAGAAAAGGGAAAGGTAACCCAGTCGCTATCACTCGAAACTCTTACAGGTGGAAGAGGAGCCATAATCTGTTCTCCGCATCTTGCGCTTTGTCGTTTGCACTCATGACAGTTGTGTAAAACGCTTCTGACTGATGCAACACCTTTCAAAATCCAATATCTTTGTCTTATCGCCGCTAGAGTTTGGTGGGTCTCAACATGACCGTTCAGGATATGATAATAGAGTATAATCTTTTTAGTAACATGGTGTTTTCCAGGCATAATTATTGGATGCTTGGCGTAGAATGCTAAGTCCGAGTGTTTTAATCTTCCTCCAACTCGTAGAATGCAATCCTGTACAAATGGTTTCAACTTTGAGAGTCTACTTCCTTTTCTAGACGTTGAGGAAGACTCATTATCGAAGATCTCCGCTGAGAACGCTTGGCATTGGACGTGTCTTACGATAATCTCCTTTGCTCTGGTCTGATCCAGTACTGTTATGTGACTTTGGTGATCTTCTATGGATGACACCGACTCGCATTTCCTACCAAGTGATTTAAACTTGTAACAAGCTGTAAGGAGCCAGGCAACTATTCGAAACATTCTTCTCCAGGTCGAATATCGTTCCAATAAGGATTCCCAAAATTAATCTTGAAGAGCCGTCACATTCACCACAATTTCTTCTTTCCTCACACCAAATTCAGCCTCTGTGAGCTCCATTGAAATCTCTTCAGGCTGAGCAGGCCATTCGGCTTTGTCCGTCCATAAAAAGGCTGGACCTTCACGCCATATTTTCAACTTCAGCTTTTCTGTGGGCCTGATTCCTCGGGAAGCATAATCTGCTGGATTATCCTCAGATTTCACATAGTTCCACTGAGATGGTTTTGATCCTTCTCTAATGATTGCAACTCTGTTAGCAACGAACTTCACGAATCTTTTCTTCTCATTTCCAATATATCTTAAAAAAAGATATGAATCAGTCCAGAAATATGTTTCGTCTATACGTAGCCTTCCGGACAATGCCTTCTTTATGAGCTTATTCATGTTAACAGTTAAAGTAGCAGCGGTCAGCTCCAATTTTGGGATGGTAATTCTAACTCTCAAGGGCTTAACTCTAGATTTGCTCATCACAAAACTGCAATGAACTTGTCTGAGATCATTAATCAAATGTAGATAGGAAACCATACTGTAACCATGATTCTCAGAAGCATCAGCGAAGTGATGGATCTCGATCTGAACAACGCTGCCGAATTCAGGGGGCTGGAAGCATCGTGGGATTCCATGATTATTTATCATAGCTAAAGATATTCTCCACTCCTGCCATTTTAGAGCCAAATCGGCTGGGAGCTCATCGTCCCAAGAATACTTCGACTTGCAAAGTTCCTGATTAATTTCCTTGCCAGGTAGTATCAATGGACTGGAGAATCCTAGTGGATCATAAATGGAGGCTACCGAAGAAAGCACTCCCTTTCTATTTTGCGGAAATTGTTTCGTACTGATGACCATCCTAAATTAATCTTCTTCTATGTCCCAAAGAGATCCTAAAGCTTTATCCATCGGTAGTCTATCAAAATCCATATCTAGATCTTTCACAGATGGGAAACGTTGATCTTCGGGAAAGGCCGAAACCACCTCTCGACAATTCGAAATTCACTTGGTCAATTGGAAGCCGCCTTTATCCAGAATACTCAATAGCACGAAGAACATTAGGGAATGACTTCAAAAGATCATCTACATAGAAATCTCTCCACACAGCGTTGACCACTTCCCATGGAAAATCACGTTTGTTGTCTTCTGCTGTACGTCTCATTGCATACCCAGCAATACTTGGCGAAGATTTAGCTCTGAATATATGCACAAGCATTTGATATGTTCTCGGCTGTTCGTTTATATTCCCGTTAGGCCACCATAAGTAACACAATGTGCCACGATCCTCAGGGGCAACGTATACCTGGTGGAACATTCGTTTAATATCTGCGGCCACCGCTATTTCATCAGCTCTAAAGCGTAGATTGACTCCAAGGAGTGAACTTGTGTTATCGGGGCCTTGAAGGAGCTCTTGATTCAGCGATTTACCATTACGCTCAGAAGCGCAATCAAAAACGATCCTTGGTTCATCTGGTTTTCTTGGGTGGTAGACAGCATGGTGTGGTAAGAACCATATTGGGTTTAACTTACGGAGGTCTTCATCTGCTACAATCTTCGATGCACCTTCCTCTTCATATCGTTTCATGATGGTAGAGTATTGCTCGCGAAATCGATCATCCTTTACAAATCTTCTCTTCAATAGGTTCAACCTTTTTGCAGCAACCTCATAATTGTCTGGGAGCTGAGGAACGTCTTCACGAAAATGGGAGTCGCAATTGATAATGTCCGTCTATCAATCATGCTGATTCTTCCATTATACGAGTTGGTTTTCGATCCTCAATTGAAGACGCTGGTGTCGTGTCTACCAGAGTGTCGCCAAACTCTGCGTTGTACATATATTGTAATTGCTCATCAATACCCATACGTTCGCCATGAATAAGGTTGACATAGGTGCCATCACTTTCGACTCCACCGTGTTCTGATATAGGCCCACAAACAGTCCATCCTAATGGAGTTTTCACGGCGTATGGTTCACCCTTTCTTCCCTTCCGTATCTCAATATCATTTTCAATCACATCTGGACGGTCCATCCCAATTAGGATCTTTACTCTCTTGTCCTCGATCTGTGGCAAATGAATTCCGCTCAGATGTGGCCATTTGTCTACTTGTTCTTCAGTCGCAAAATGCTTTGTGGTCACCGAGAGCCGGTCGGTAGTCAAGACATCATCAAGTTGGAACTCTGTTTCACCGTCCATCGAACTTATTTGCAAGCAAACTTGATGTCCACGTTTTGCTTGCGTATCATTCATCTTAACCATTGTGTAATTCATTGCAGTTCTTTCTTATCCGAGCTCGTATATGAAAGTGTCCAAACAAAGGGTAGAATCAGAGCCGCTGTCCAGAAACGCATAAGTGATCACTTCCTTCTCACCATTTGGACTTCGAATTCTTACCGGAACAACTTTGAAACAAATTCTAGGGTGGTTGATTCCAATAGTCACGACTGTAGTGTGATTATTTTCTCTCTCCGCGGGGAGATTCGGGGCATTCTTCGATGGCAGAGCAGAATCAACATTCTCTTTGTCCGATTTGTCATCTTTGGAATCATCATTATTATCCTCCGGTTTTCTCTCTTCCGAATGAATCAACCAATGGTGCTCTTTGCTGCATCCTTTCTTCAAACAAACAAATTTTCTTCTGCAAGATGCAGCGAAGTGACCTTTTTCGAGACATCTTCTACAGAGTTGCTGTTGCTTGACGACTTTCAGCCTCTCAGTTAATGTTGCGGCTTTGAAAATAGGACACCGCCAAACTCCATGAGAACTTGAACATGAAGGGCACTCATGTGTGTTCTTTCCACCGGGTGTCTGGTCCTTGTTCTGCATGGCATAGGCATTGACTCTCTTATGTTCAAGTTTCTCATTGGTCTTTCTGTCTCTGGATAACTTTAACTCTTGGGCGAATCTGTTATTCAACCGTTTAGCAGTTCTCTGAACAAATTCTGAAAAATCAGTATAATTAACCTGACCATTACGCTTTATAAGATCTCCCTCCGTATCAGCCCATCTTCTCCTCATATTTTCTTCTGGAAGCTTTCTCATCAAACAGACAATCAATTCTTTGTTGTCGAGTCGATTAACAAAACGTGTACCAAGATTCTCCAACGTCCTATGAGCATCCACTAGACGTCTTGAGAATTCCATCAGGGAGGATGCATCAGCTCTCTTCAATTGTATTTGCGTCAATCTTGATATGAGCATCTGCAACCATATAAGGTTGACCAAAATTCTGCTTCAAAGTTTTCCAAGCTGCATCATACCTTGTAGCAACAGGAAGATTCACACAGCTCCTGATGGATTCTTTAGCTTTCCCTGAACATTGAGCAAGCAATCTCGTCAACCGTTGGGAATCGTCTCGTACTTGGCTTTCAATATTGTCTCTAAAATTTGTGATGAACTCTGAAAATTCCAGTGAGTCGCCAGTAAACATCATTAGGTCAATCTTCGGCAACGTCGGTTCCTGTCTAATAGCATCCGCGATCATCATCCAAGCATCAGTATTCTGTGTTGTCACATCTAGTGAATCAACTCTGTTATTTGGGTGGAATTCTGGAACTACAACACGCCATTGGGGGTGTGAGATGCCCGGATCCTGACCACCACCTGTGTTGCTAGGACAGAAGTTTCCAGGTCTAACATTTGTAAAATCCAAGCCACTAAGTGGAACAGACTGAGAGCAATCACTAACAGGAACATTTGGATCAATCACCTGGGCAAATGGGGGAGCATTCTGTATTGGACCATATGAACCATCAAACAAAACGTACGGAAAGGTATGTCTCAAGTTGCCAAATCCGATGCGTGGTGAAGGGTTTCCTCTTGGAACACCTGGACCACCAACTGGGGCATGTTGGAAAGGATTCCTCTCAGGAATACGAGAAGGACTAACCGGTTCATTCGGGTATGAATCTCTTACCTGAACATCAGGACGGCGAACTGGAGCACGTGGAAATGGGCTCCTGGGTAAAGGACTTGAAGAGGGGTTGCTAAATGGAAGCTTTGAGGAGAGATCTGCTGGCAGAAAACCAGAGGAGGGAGCCCCTTGTCGAACACTTGAAGGAGGATTCTTTAACGGAACATCTGAAGTAGGATCACCGACAGGGATCTTGTACTCACCAGTCAGACCTGGTCGACACGGGACTAGGAACCGTTGGAGCTAGGTAAGCTTTAAGTGGTAACATATCACACTTATTGGTTTCTCGTCCAAATTCTCAAATAAGCGAGGAATGTCATCGGCATCTTCTTCAATCTTTAGAAGCGCCACTGCCCTTTCCAATTCGGTTTCTACCTTTAACACTTCTAATTGCCTTTTAAGCTCTGCCTCCTCAGAACTCTTCTTTTCTTCCATTTCTCTTGAACGCCTCTTAAAATCGGTCTCCGTTCTCTCAAGTTGTCTCTCAATCTTCTGCCTCTGACGAAGCTCTTTTATCTTCAAAGTTGCTTCCTCTACTTGTATTCTCCCACTGATTGCCGTCATCTTACTCGAAGCTCTACTGCTCTTCCTACTTGTCGCAGAATGTGACTGGAGGCTTGTTACAACTTCTAATGGTATGTGACTTTCTCTATCTTTACTCAATCTTCTCAATGCCAACTCTATTTCATACTTCAAATCTCTCTGATTTTCATAGCTTTCAATCTGAAGACCCTTCATCCTCTCATCATCTTCAAACGCCAAATACTGTTCATGGATATCTACAAATTTGCAGAAAGCTTGCTCATAGCTTTCTACCTCTCGATTAAGCACCTCAACGTTTGTATCCTCAGTCAAAAACCCTTTAACAACGAAAAATTTCTTTCTGACATCACCCAGATGACCAGCCCTTTCCCGTCTAATATTCTCTTCATCCAGCCTGCTTCTCGAACGTTTATCTCTCTGAACTCTACTAGTTCCGACATGTTCTTTATCATGTCCAACATAACCACCACTGTCTTCTCCTTCGGGCCTTTCGTGGTTGG